CGTTGAGTCCTATGAAGGATCCCTGGAAACCTCGTTGAGTCCTATGATGTACTAGGTTTTTCTACATGTGTGTGGGTTTCGGGTCTGAATGGGGTTGCAGTTTGGCACAGTGCAGGTTTCTCCTGGTCCGTTCCTGAAGGAACTTCCGAAGTTCAGAAGCCCTTTCCGGTGCTGGGAACGGGTCCAAAAACGGGGCCACCAGAGGAACCAAAAAGGGTGCCAGGATGGGGCTTAGCATGAGAGTTTCTGGTCACATCCAACAGATCCATATTCCGGGTGTTTGTGGCCAATACTGGACTGTTTGTTCCCGAAAGCAGGTGAAACAAACGAGGTCTCAAACCCAAATCAAAAGTGCTCGACGTCTACTTCCGCCGGCGTTGACGAGACCGACTCAGTCGGATGGCTTTGAAGCAGGAGTCGGAGGGTCTTTGGCCCGGCATCACTCCGCAGTCCGAGACAGGCCGACGTCTCGGCTCAGGTGGGCCCAGTCAGGTGGGAGGCTCCCCCCACCTGACGGGTCAACTGCTGCCTTTGGAACTTGCTTCTCTCAACTGCCTTCATTGCTGAAGGTCGACCCTCCACCAAAACCTCCACAGCCACGGGTTTGGCCAGGACCGTTGGGCGTCGGATGGTTCGGGTCCAAGAGTTGGAGCTGGGAGCCGTGGAGCCAAAGGCCGAGCAGCCGTGTTCCTCACCGCATTCGTAGCGTCCGATCGCTCCGTTCGTAGCGATGCCATGCTCTGTTCGTAGCGAACCTTGTTCTGGTCTAGCCTGGTCTACGAATCGTGAAGTTGTGATCTTCCATTTCGTTCCAATCGGGCAAGGGGGCTAGGTTTTCTCTGATCAGAGGGGCCCACCGTGCACCACACTCTTCCGCAATGCATTCACGATGGTTGATTTGTGAGTAGATGGAGATGCGTCAACACCCAACACCAAAGAAGCCATGATCAGCTGTGACCCGCAAGGCTATGGCGTGCCAGTACCCGCAGGTAGGGGATGGCGACTAGTTTTTAAAACAATCGTTTCTTCTACAGTCTTAGTGAAGGATGCTAATATGTTGTTTTATTGTTGCCGTCTTTGAAGATGTCGGCGACTATCGCGAAATCACCATCTGCACTGCAAACAAAAAGCGCGCCAAGGCCCTGCATTATTTTTGAGTACGCATTCTATGTTGTTTTCCTTCCATATGTGGAGTCCCTGTGCAAACGACACGAAAAACCACACGCCTTGTCACTCACCGCCTTGTCGGCCACTCCCGAAACCCCTCTCCGCCCTCGTCCGCCCTTGCTCGAGGTTTGGACCTGAGCTGTTTCTTCGAGGGCTCCACGAAGCCCTCGGCCGCCGACCCACGGGAGGCGGGTCGAGCGTTTTCGGTCGCGTGCGTTGAAACGGCCGGGATTTGTATTGGTGTCGGGGCTTACGGGGGGATGAGAGGGCACGGTGCAGAAGTGAGGGAAGTGCGTGAATTTTACTTGGAGTGGAAGAAGGTTACTCACTCCTTGGCTGAGTGATGAGGCGCTGAATGAAAGGGGTGCCCATCATACATCCACGGAGGCGAAGTGGCCAGACCTCCGGACCAGCAACACGCATGTGCTTATTTGTCAAGAAAGTGATGCGGGTGGCTTCGAAGCCAAACTTCCAGGGACATTTCAAGAACGGAGTCTGGCGCAGTACCACCGTGCTTTGCTCCTAAACTGATCCTATAAACTTCTGCTCCTAGTCCGTTCCAGTCCATGTACATAGCTGGGAGGAATTTTTGGTGGGTGATGTGACACACACACACACACTGTCTGTGGCGCATCCGCTTTCGGACGGAACCTGCCCTTTCACACCGGGAGGTGCGCGAAGACTTCGAAGAGGACTGGACCAGGGTCGGGTACCGGGTCGGGTCCGGGGAAAGTGCTTGGGAATGTTCGTATTCCTGGCAGTTTCAATGAATGTTCGTAGGGACTGCCAGGATTGCTGGGAAGTAGGGGCTGCGTCACCAGCGCGACCGCAGCCAATTTTGCCAGCGTACCAGTACCAGCGCACAATCGTTCGCGGACACACTTTGCCATGTCGCTCAATTGCTGAAGGGCCGTGGATGTTTTTCTGGCTGCAAGGGAAGAAGGTATCTAGAGCTGAGCCCGGTCGGGATGTTGAACTGCGCCGAGACAGAAATGCAGGTGTCTCCGAAGTCGACTTGGTTGTTTCATCCCAGGGAACATGTGAAGTGGTCAAACAGCTTGAATAAGACGGTGCATGATAGTGCAAAGATAGTCCGAAGATGTTAGCCAGGGCTAGCAGGGATTCTTGAGATCCGTGCTTTTCATTGCTTTTCCACAGATGCCAACAACTGAATCCATACATTCCACACGCGTCGTTCCAAAAAGCACTGTGCTTGTTGTTGTGCTTTTTGTTTCTTTAACCTCCCAAACCCGCAGGAACCGCCGTCCCTGCTCCAGACGTCCGACCCGCCCAGAGGGCGCGAGAGAGCGAGAGAGGGGGAGAGAGAGAGAGAGAGCACAAGAGAGCAAACATTGAGGTCCTGAGGTTTTTATGGTCGAATGGATGATAGTGGATGTTTCCAGAAAGAATGGATGTTTCCTGAGGTTTTAGGAAGAATTGGCCGAAAGGATCTCTGATCTTCCAGGAAGAAACGCTGTGAGATAGTCTCAGATTGATCTTCCTAACTGCTTTGAGACCTTCTGAGACTTCCCAGAAGTGACGATGATCTGTAGGTATACGTACGAGTTTAGGTCTGTCCCCACTTACCTGTAACAGTCAGTAAAGAATTATATATCACTTGTTTTTGAACAAGGCCTTTACTAACCATCATCCACTGGGCCCTGGCAATAGGATAGACCCAAACTTTAGCATATCTACGGTTGTGCTCCAAATGCCCCAGAAAGAGACTCCGACCCTCCGAAGGGGGGGACCCACCCGGCTGAGGCCGCAGCTGCCGGGGCTGAGCCTCTTCCGTTCACCCGACGCGGCTCAGCTGGCCGGGCAGGTTTGGACCGTGGAAGTGGAGATCATCCGATCCCAAAAATATGACGTGAAGGATGGTGATTGTGAACGATGGTGAAGGATGGTGAAGGGGATTCCTTTATAAAGGATTGAATCGCTTGTGAATCACAGCTGAATCACTCCTCCCAGGTTGAAGGATCGACATATTTCAATGAGGAGTCAGGATCGACTTTGAGAACATGTCATTTCATGTTTTGGTTGGTGAGGGGTCGTACCTGTTATTTTATGTTATTTTGGACTGGATTACGTCTTCTTCTTTGGATTGCGTGTTCCAGATGTCGGAGATTTCGGGGACACTCTCGGCAACCTTTCGGAGTCGGGTGCTTGGTGCTTGGATGACTTCGGCTGGGCGGCAGTTCTGGCCGCCAAGGATGCCATGGCGCAAGGCAGAAGCAATGCCTTCTTAATCTGAGTGGCTGGCCTTCGATTTCCGTTTTCGCCACCGTTGCGAGGCAGTCTCAAGGCCTTTTCCAGAGTGTAACTGGAGGGAACATTTTCTCAACAAGCCGAAGAACGCATGAGGTTTGCCCCCAAAGAGAACTATGACAACCCTGCTACCTGAAGAAAGTGATACTGCCCGCACCTACATCCACAGAGTCTGACAAGGGGCCAAGACCAAGAACCTCCAAGTTGATGTCCTTTTCATGAAGCAATCTTGACCACATGAACTGAGTATGACAAGTCACCACCAAACCCATACGTTCCTTTGGAGGTGTTTATTGATTAACACCTTTTGTTCTGGCGTAAAAACTCCAGAGTTTTCAATTCATGGATTTGCCGGGCCCATAAAAGGCAAACAATCACATTATGCATGACTGGAAGCGTTGTGGCTTGCTCTGATTTTCCCAGATGTCATTAGTCCACCTTCAGGTACATCAATCTTCCTGCAACTCCAAATTGGACATTAGTTGGGAACTCCAATAGTAATCAAGTAATGAAATAGCATCGACTCAAACGCATTCAGCTACTGTTCAAATCTTCTGAGACGCCTGCGGCCGCAGCGGGACGTGTCATCCTGTCGGCAAAAGTCGCCAACAGAAACTCGTTGACTCTCCAACTCGTTGAGAGACAAAGAAGCTATTAGTAACAAGTGCCACGCTAGTAGTAACAAGTGCCTTACTAGTAGTAACAAGTGCTCAAAAGTGAGATTATAGTTGGTGCAGGTACACATTCAGGCGTCCCTGAATGCTTCAATCTTTCGCAGCTTCGTTGGGCGACGTTGGAAGATTGGCCGTTGCCCCTGCTGTGACGGTACACACACACTGACGCGTGCGCATGTTTTCGATTCTTCGAGGTTTCCAGGGCGCCCCACATGGAGGACATCGCGTCGTTTGCACGCCACTCGATGGTCGGAGGAGCCTGAGGGAAGCCGAAGTCGTTCTGCGACGGAGCCCGGGTTCTCTACGTTTCAAAGATGGCCTCCTTTGAGAAATTTTGTCCGACTCAGTAGCACAATGTAGCACATATGGAATTGTTTTGTAGCCCCGAGAAAGGGGAGCGACTTTTCATTTTAAGGTCACCTGGGGTTTTGTTGTTTGCCTGCTGAAGAGCCTTGTGGCTGAAAAGTGGGGTGCAGTGTCTGCGCACCCTGGAAGAGGTCCACGAACCTGAAACGCCTTTTGGTCTTGAACGCCACGTGTTCCGTTCTTGGTCCATGAACCCATGCCGTTCCGCCCAGTTCCCATGGGGCCTTGGACCCGGTCGACCGGGTCGACCATCGAGACCTACGGGTCGATCCATGCAGGCAACCATGTTGGGGTTCACCGAACCAGGCAACCATGGTGGTTCGGTGATCTCCGGGGTCTTCGGGTGCCCAGAACATCCAATCATGATCCACTCACTTGGAGTCTAAGATGCGTTCAAGCTTCCACGAGCTTGACTTTCAACATGAAGAGCATTCTTGGACCGTGCTGAGCTCGGAGCTCCGTGCTGAAGGAGCTTGGCAGGTTCAGTCAGCTCAAACGGAATATATCAAGATTATTAAGGCTCCCTCAGACTCCGTCAGACTCATTTCAGCCCTGGTCCGCAGGCCGGGGGGGTGGTGTGCGACCCGGCCCGCAGCATGAGACCCATGAAGAACAATCCCGGAGTTGTAACGGGAAAAGTCACCTGCAAGCTTCGAAACTTAAACATGTGCCGTTTTTTCATGAGGTAAAGACGCAGGTTTGCCAACAGAGCCACTGAACATGGTTTGTTCAGGTCGTTTTGGAGATGGGCATATTAGCATGGTTTGCTTTGCATTTCATGTTTATTTGCTCGGGAGATTTGCTCGGTTCGGCCTCCCTTTGGTCTTGGACTGCGTAGCTTTTGCAGATCAGAGCGAAGCCAAGCACAAGTCATGCCCACTCGGCCAGCAGCCAAACGCCTCACACCACCCAAACGTTTTGACTTCCACCAGGACTTTCTGGATACATCATATGCAGTACGATGCAGTATGCGTGGCATAAATAGTCGAACGCCACTTTCTTGGCATCATCATGTGCTTCTCCAGAGCCACTGCAAGTCTTGCTTTGCAACACAAAGACCCTTTCAGTTTCGTGGAGAATGTCCAGACGTCCCAAATGGGTGACCCTTTGCCAGTTCCTTTTGACGACACTTGCTGCTCGCTTTTTCCATTTTTCGCCGCATCGCCATGGTTGCGGGTGAACGCCCTGCCTGGCATGTCTTTTTGTCCGTTGAGACGCACGAAAGCGTCATCTCATGGCGCGTGTGTCCAAGAGTAGATTGTTCCGCGGCAATTTTGGGGGGCTGAACAAGTAGCTACTAGGAACAAGTGCCTTACTAGTAGTAACAAGTGCCTTACTAGTTGCACTTCATGCCCAGGGCCATCTTTCCGTCCGACTCCATCCGACTCGGTTTGTCTGTCAGCCTTTGTCGAACAGACCGCTTTTTGTCTTGTTGAACACGGGTGGTCTGCGTCGGACACAACCGGAGGGGGACCATCTCCGGTGTGCGTGACCTGTGAAGCTTCGACCTCCGGACAACACGCCAGGCTTTATTGCTGAGCTGCCCGGCGTGGCTTGGCAACGGAGAAAAGCCCGTCTTCGGAGCGGGAGTAGACAAAACGATGCACTCTGAGCTGATGGCCACCCTCTGTGATTTCCAGTGATTTGCAGAGATCAACTAGACTATAAACCACAAAGGTCGATGCATGTGAGGTGGTTCAAAATGTTTAAAGAAGGTGAAGAGAGGATAAGGAGGTGGTTTAGGAATTCACCAAAGCACCATGGGCTGAAGGGTTTGCCTGTTGCCCTGTTTGCGGAACATGGAGCCCAAAAAGAAGCCGCTTCCATCAGCTGCTTCTTTTACCGCTTTGTTCAACTGGGCTACTGACACCTCCCACTCTTTGGTCAACGGTTCTGCGGTGCTCGATTCAGGGAGTGATTCCCTTGCGGTGCTGTTCGCACTCCAAACTGCGGGTCTCTGAACGACCTGCGGCCTGGATGCTTTCGGAAGGGCCGGTGACTTGACGTCGTGGCCCAAACCAGCAACATATTTCACAATACAATTTGTGCTGGACATTGGGCACTTATGGTCACTTGGTTTATTCCATTACTTTCTAGTTATATTATATATATATACAGTAATGCTATTGAAATGCCACACCATCCAAGTAAACATTTCTAGTGTCGGTAGTCCTTCAGACATGCCCCAGTGAGTTGCGATCATCCGTGAGTTAGGTGATCATCCGCCGACAGCCCACGTTGAGTAGCGACAAGGCGGGGAGACCAGCGGTGGCAAGATGTTGGCGGGTCGGCGAGAGCATGTCCAAAGCCACCTCTGAGGTCGTTAAAGAATTGACGAACATTTTCTTTGGCTCCAAAGACGTTTAGCAAGTCACGAATAATTTGATATCACACATTTCCGCAAGTCACAGCATATACGCCTATAAGCAATGCCTAGCATCTTCAGTGTTTCATGGCGTTGATGGTCCCCTTTTTGTGGGGGGTCGAATCGACCTCAGCAGAACCCCCGTGGACACCGAGCACCGGTCGCGCCCAGCTCGGTCGATCCATCGGACGGCCGGAGGTCTCGCTACTGGAGAAAGGAGATGAGATCACTGCTGTCGATGTACGGCCCCCCCACGGTCGATGCTATGCAGAAACGATGAACGAAGCTTCATGAAGAATCCATGCGGGGAAACCATCGATCTGAAGATTCCTATGTGAAAGGCCCAACGTGACGCTTGCCCTGTGCCATTGAGATGATCAATGTGCTCTAGAACATTTTCCAACTCGGCATACACATAAGACTCCTGCCGACAACTCCGGCCGTCCGCAGCTGTGCTGAAATTGGGGCGCTGGGCTTGAGTCTATATTCAGAGTACACCTGCAACATGAACCTTGGCCACGCAACATGAACCAGATGGAGCCTGAAAGAACATACCTCCGTCGCCTCAAGCGAATACATACATCCGAGTGTACATGGTGACTTCCATCAGTTCCAGAAGAAGACCCCCATACTTTGGCAACCCCAAGTCTTCCGGAAGACATTTGTAAATCGTTCTATGACCTCACGCGAGTTCAGTTCTACAGTGCCTACCCGCTCGACATCCGGGTCCGCAGCCCGGGTCGCAGCTCCACCCACCTGGGTCCGGACGCTCCGCTGCGATGCATCCGGAAGCCTATGACGCTGCCAGCCTTCAAACGTCCAGGTCGCAGGACTTCGAACGTCGAAGCAGGTCGATGTTTGTTACTATTACTATAAATCATTATTACTGATATTACTCAGACTCATATCAACTTTTTTTAAAGTTGCGATTACGATTTGGGTATTTGATGGTATTTGTTTTGAATATGGGAGAACCCTTGCGGCCCAAGATGGCACAAAGGTGAGACTGGTCAATTCTTACATGTTTTTGTTCTTCTAGATTGTCTATTTATATAAAATATTAAATTATTGTATACATTTACAGACTGTATCCACTCAGTGATCATGCAGATAGATCCGTTCTTGGCAGATCCTGATCCTGTACATATCCATGGTGTATGGGTTCACAAATACATGTGTCTACTGTCTACTCAAATGATGATCCAAAATACCGTGGCACACAATGAAGATCTCTGACGACCGGTCGCAAGTTACCAGGGCCTCGGAGCTAAACATGGGTCATTTTTGCACGATCAATAACTGTAAGTGGCGGTGGTCAGGGAATTGGATGGGTCTGTCATCGGTTCTGGAGCGGATTTGGAGGCATAAAAACTCGTGATGAAGAATGATGGGTGGAATTCATGACTGAAGGGTTGCTGGTGGGGATCCTCTTGCAATCGCGTTCCGGGGTTGCTTCAGATTGGGGCGATTGGGGCTGCTTTAACTCGTGAATCATTCTTAAACATCCTTGGTTTTTTACACTTGAGTAGAGAGCAAGGAGAATAACAGAAAAGATGTGACATCCCAAGGATGCTTCATGAATGAGACTAGTGATCTTAACTAAGACGTCGAAGACATACTCAGACTTAGTTGAAAGAACTTTCCAGATTTCTTGAGGCCCTACTTGCCACGCTGGCAGTCACAGACTTCTGAAAGCACAGCAGAAAACATGTCACACCGACGAACACTGGAGGTTTTTGTCGAAGGCGATCCCCGCTCATAGGAGCTGAGCTCCGCGCTCATCCGGGGTGGCAGCATGCAGCTGCAGCCCTCGAAACCTCCGAAGCAGCTCTTGTCCGGTGGACCAGGCCGGGAGCTTCGGTGGGTGCCCGAAGGCCCCTTTGGCGGCAACGGCGAGACCGTGCGCGTGGTCAGGCCCATTCCTTCCAGCTCGTGTCAAGGGGGGGGGTGGTTTTTCACACCAAGAACCGCTCTTCTGCTCTTCCGCTCCACGCTCTCCACCCGCTCCACCCGCTTCCACCTGCTTCCGCCGCTCCTGGCGCCAGGAGAGCGACCGCCTTTGGGTCCGGTGGACTTGCCCTTCCACCCGCGAATCCGCAAGGCCCCGAGGGACGAGGAGAGACGGGTTTGTGTGCCGTGGTGACCGGCGCCGGCTGGATGGGGGTATTTTTTTTCCGCTTCTGAACGTGTTGAGAACAGTTGAGAACAGTTGATATAATTAAGTCGATTAAGTTACGCTATGTTACGGTAAAGTTTATGTTCTTGGTGGGTGGTTGAGCTGATGACGGTTGATGGTTTTAGACGGTTTCGAGTTGGACGTTTATTTTTTAAATCTATTTTTACTCTTATTATTTAAATGTTCTTGGTATGTTGCAAGCCTCAAATCCGTTCAAAAGGGTCCAAATGCCTCTGATCTAAGCATCCTATGCATTCCAATGCTCCCAATTGCATGGTTGCACTTTTCTCCGTACTTTTTATTGACTATATTTCACTATTGTTCATTTATTATATACTGTGCTCCGGGCTTTCTAGGTCGTCACTGTTTTTATTTGGGGATCCAGGCACTTTTATGCAGGCAGAGATCACCGACTCACAGGCAGAGAGCATCACCATCAGAACTGATGGGCATCGGGTATGTGATTCGTGCAGAGCCGACGTGCCCGAGCGTTCCGGTGTGTTCCGGCGTACGCATCGACGCGGATGCGTACCCATGTCGTTTTCCATGGATTCCATGCTTCAGGGGTGGAGTAAGAGTTCCTGACCATTCGTCAAGTCGTCCGAGAGCGAACGTGCGCTGTTCTATCCAATCTCCGGCGCCGGAAAGACCGTCGACCAAATCGAAGCGTTGAGTTCCCAACGACCGGAGGGACCAACTTGGGGTTCACTCACGTGGCAGATTCAAGAAACCCACCTTATCACTTATCACCTTTGAGATTGGGTGGATTCCTATTGAACAGTGTTCAAAGAGAACATGGAAGGCTTTCAGGACTTATCACATGGCTCCTAGTCCTGCAACTCATCCCAGTCATCCGATATTTCACACACACCCACTTCACCCGATCAAGCAGATGGTAGAAGCATGTTTTGCAGGTCGTTTTCCATGAAAAAGGATGGGTTTTCGCTCCTGCGCTCTCCAGTCTCCTCGGTCTCCGCGCGCGGCGCGGCGCGGCCACATCATGAGGAGACGGATCCGGAGCACTTGCGTGACCGGGTGGCCATGAGCAAAACCTTGGACCCAGAGCTCAAGGAGCGACACGACGGGCGAGGAAGCGAGTGGCGAGGAAGTGATGTCGTTGCGAGTCCTCACAGACGAGACCGTCCGGTGGTGAGGATTGGATCAGAAACAACACTCAGCGCTACCTCAGAATTGGTATGAACTAACCTTGAGCCTGCTCAATGGTTTGTGTGTGTGTGTCTGATTGTACAATTGGTACGAGGCTGGGGCTGGAAGAGACGCGTACAAAGCGTTCAAAACGGTTCAAGCGTATTCAGTATTCTTGATTACTTGTGAATCTACTAGTCATGTCATGTCAATTGTTTTCTGTTTGTGCCCTACTTGTTTGGAAGTAAGATGCTGAATCCTCCGGTATTCCTTGGAACCTCGAGTTCTGGATATTGTGAGGCCTCTCCATTTCCAGCGGTTGTTGGCAATGTACTGTATGGCAATTGCTCCATTGCCTGTCAGATTTTTTAAACGTAAACCCTCGAACAAGTAGAACAAGAGCAAATAGCGTGGAACTCATTAAAGGATACATTGAAAACGCTGAAGCAACTGTAGAATATGGTAACTCATAGATGCCTGTCAATGCGTTTCACCTCATGCCGTGTAGAAGTCTTCCATACTTTACAGGTGGTATCCGTACAGAAACATCTATATAATGAACATATCGCTACTCCTTTGAAACTTTGCCATCCCAAGACACTTGTTTCACCGGAGGAACCGCTGTGGTTCCTCACTGCCAGGAGGACTGCCTGGAGCGGCTGGTGTCCGTGGCGCAGCGCGCGCCCATCGTTCGGCGACCGTCCTGGTCGTGGCCCGGCGTCAAGCGGCGTTCGGTGGATTTCGAAGATGGAGAGGAGGAGCAGCAGCTGTGGATGGTAGGGGGCTGGTCTTTGTTTCGCGTGTTTGCGGCTTGGGCCGGCCATTGGGCCTATTTTTGGAAGGGATCCTGTGATGGTGTGGGTCGTGTCACTGACACGTCTCTCCAGATGTCAAAGGCCAGGTTATGTGTTCAGCAGCTTCCTAAGATGATCCAAGAAGACGCAGGAGGATAACAAACACGCCGAGGATTTGAAATCATCTATAGACGAATACGGGGCAATCCAATTATGTGAGCATTTTTTTGATTTGGGTTGGACATCTCACAATCAATCTGCTACAGGTTTGTATACGTTTTAGACACATTGAGGCCTCTGAATTCTCCGCGTGTGAGTGGGGATGCCAACAGGTTGGGGAGGGCGGACGCGCGAGGCAGTCGACAACATGGGTGCTCCACAGTGGAACATTTTGGGGATTCCCGTCAGGAGATGTAGACACCTGCGTCGCCAACAGCAGGTTGAAACACATATCATCAATTTAAATTAATGGCTTCTTGTTACTACTAGTAAGGCACTTGTTACTACTAGCGTGGCACTTGTTACTGCTGAGTATAATCCTCCTCATCTTCGCCTCCGAAGATGTAGCCGCCTTCCAAACCATCTCTTTTCCCTTATTCATTCCGAAGAGGTCACCCTTGGGTCTAGGGCCCTCGTCCCCACGGTTTCACGGATTTTCGTTGGCCGAAACGCCCAGGCATGAGGAAGTGACCAAAGAGGTCATTGAAAGTGATGAGGAAGAGGCTGTCCGGAGAGCCAGCGCTTCCGGGCTTCTCCCCACATGAGACCAGCACATGCGACATGCGACATGCGACCAGGGAAACGACGCCTCGACTGTGTTCAGTTACAGCCCGGATTTCAAGTTGAAGTTCGCAGGAGAGTTGCAGGGAGGTCACCCTCCACAAACAGAGCTTTGAATCGTGGTTTGGTGGCAGTTTGGTCGAACGGGGTGGAGGAACAGTCTCTTCCAAAACGATATAATAGAAATGGGTTGCTACGTTGCGTTCATCGAACGGGGGGGCGGGTCGCGGCGGGTGGTAAATCGTTTGAATCTCCAAACATCTGCGGCCCAGAGCCACACATGGAATCTGCAAGATGTGGACTACTTGCTGCTGGAAGATGATCTTTTGGCAAACACATGGTTGATGATGAATCAAAGAGCAACCAGACACAGGAAATCCCTTGCAGCATCCAAGCAATGTATGTTGAACATTTATTGAAATGTCTTGAATGAGACTTTGAAGTGCCTGGCCAAAGCAAGTTTGGCGACCACCCGTAGCCGTATGACCTCGAGAGGTCTCGCAAGGCTTGTGCCGAAGTCCTGATCGGAAGCAAGAGATTTGGTAACTTAAGACCAGCGACGTGTGTGGGGATCGACAAGTCAAACTCCCAACCGAAAACATTCAAGCACCCCATAGGTCAGATGCATAGACAAGATCCAACTCTTTTCAGACGCCTCACCCTGGTGTTTTAATCACCCCGACCCAATGGGTTTTGCAGTGATCAGACCCGACGATGTGATGCAAAGTGGAAACCGAGAGATGTTTTTCATGGCGAGAGAGGATCAACACATTTGGGCCAGACATCCTTACTATCATGCGATCAAGGAGAAGAAGAGACCCTGAACTTTGTGTTTTGCTCTGGCACTGGCGCTCAAAGTTCTTCAAACATGTTCTCTGTAACCTTGCTAGACTTGTGCCTTTAGCTAGACACTTGTCATCACTTGTCAGCCTCTCAGGTGGGGTCCTAAAAAGGGATGGCCACTACACTGTATATCGCACAGATTAGCATCCTCTACAAAGACAGACGGCCTCAGATTAGCGCCTCACTCAAAACACACCTTTCGCATCCTTGAAGTGTTTCCATGTGTTGTTATCCGAAAAAAGATCTGGGTCCCCTCCCCAGATTGCCATTGGTTCGCCATGGCCTTCCGCCTCGTGACGGCACGGATCCCGCACCCCGCGCGGTTCGCGCGGGGACGCCGGTGGAGCTCGGGCGCACGGATCCTGAAGTCGGAGGTGCCGGAAGCTGGGCAGAACGTGCCGACGTGTTCAAGGGGTTAGAAGGGGTTTGGGAGTGGATGGCTGAAAAGGGCACGGCATGGCCTACTAGTGACCTGAAGTTCTAATGTGGGAGCCATAATTCATGATGTTCAAAAATAGGCTTCCTTCAGCTGGGGATTGTAAGTCCACATAATTACATACACTAATATACCTTTTTGATCTTTTTGACACCATTGTTGGATCAAATTCTTTTCTCTTTGCACCTTGACCCACTGGTATGGAATTGGACAATTGGCTCTTTAGATCAGGTTCATTTACAGACCGTTTCCCGATTCTAGATTCTCAAGTTGAGTCCAACAGTGGTTCTCTTCTGGGTCTCGCTCAAAACATGACATCGGCTCAGAGACGGGCACCATGTGTCCTTTTGCTTTAAAAACGCACCAGCAAAAAGGCGCAAGTGCCCCAGAAGTTTTACAGTTTGTTGATGTTTTTTGTTCAAAGTGTTTTGTTTCTTTAAGTGAGGGGTTCACGATGCACAAAGTTTGCAGGTTCCTTCAACCTTGGTTTCGGTTCTTTTCGGTTTTGGCCCATCCGAACAACGGTCCAACGAGGCGAGCTGGTTTCGTGGGTGTTCCGAAACGGCTCGGCTCAGGCCGTTCGTTCAGCCCGTTCGTTCTCTTCATCCGCCCAGCTCGGAGAGGTTTCGGGACACCAACCGTGGCATCTCGTTGGGAACATTTGATCCGCCACGTGAGGACATCATCTTTCACTTTGCTGTGGAAGACTATTTGCCTCTTGGCGCCTTCGGGTCCAGGCGTATCGACGTGTAGCTTCACTTTCCAAGTTCAGTACTTCAACTGCCAAGCAACTTCCAATGGGATGGTTGCAATCAACTTGACTTTGGAAGATTCCAACCAATGGCATTTTTTGTAGTCAATGCCGATTTCATTTCCACACTGCCACTTCTCAAGCTCCAAACGCAGAACCCTGACGGGTTGCTGGCTTTGCTCGGCCAGTTGCTTCAGGATGAACTTCGCCAAGATCACCTCTCCTCTGCTGTATCTCTGGCGGCCACAGCCCGTGGTCACCATCGGCCGGCACCAGAACCCCTGGAAGGCGCCGAGAGCTCGCCGAGAGATCTCGCCATGGCGTAGTTGCAGTGAACAGGGGTCGGCTTGGTCGTGTGAAGAAGGGGGATGGTCCTCCCTCGTTGGCAACGCAAGCTGTTTTTTTTGTTTAACATGTTTTTTGTTATGTTCTTGTCTCATGTCTTCTGTGATCCACTTCGATGGACTACTTGGATCATCTTGGATCTACGTCAACAAATTTTAGGTCATGGATTGGATTGGTCCCAAGCCCCTCCGAAGCTGTCTTTCCTGCTGGTTTTCTTCTTTCTGGATATCACACACTCTCAGCTTCCCTTCAAGGAGTGTGTGCTCGAGCAGTTGCAGAGCGACCAAGTGGCCTTGGTGCGCCGCCGCTCGGGGGGCGGTGCGGTGTTCCAAGATCCCGGCTGCAGCGTTTTCACCTTCATCTTCCCTTCGGCCGACGCTTCGGCGGAAGGGCTGGCGGTTGGCTGGCGAATGGAGAAGCGAACTGGGTCGCGCGAGTTCCCGCGGGAAACCGCTGGAGTTGGGGTGCACGTCCCAATGGAAGCCTTGAAGATCCGTTGAAACAGCCTATATATATAATATAGTAATATAATAATATATATATATATGGTACCACCCCCCCTGTACCTACCCTTTTTGTACTTTTACTGGTATTTACATGCTTTTATCACTAGTTTGTAATTTATATATATATATATCTGCGAGCATTTTGCAGACCAAACACGTTGGTACTTCATCGTTTGCGCCCAGTCTTGGCCCAGCTTCGAGCACCTGGTCCCGGTGCCATTCGGAAAGTCGAGTGGCAACCGCTCGCCAAGAAGTGGCTGCAAGACCGCCGTGTCGTATTGCACACCGCTTCTGCGAAGAGTTATTGCACTCGTGTCCCTGGCGTGCTTCACGACAGAGTTCATAAGAAGCAACGTGTCAAATCGGTGGCAAGTTCAAGTGGATTGCGCCCAAATATGTAGAACTCAAGCGCCATCGACTGCCTGACACCAAAAAGGTTCTCCAGGTCAAGTCGGGCACACAAATCATCGATCGCAGCTGGAAGTTTCTCAAAGACAGACTGGCAATCAACCCGTTTTGTCACGTTGGCAGCATGCATTTGCGCGTGAAATTGTGCTCTGGCTACGGGGCAAGGACCTCTGGATCCATTCGGCCACCTTGGTCCAATGGTTCGTCCAAATAGATGTCTGCATATCGTCACCAAAGGGAAAAAGAGTGCAGTACATTGCTCCCTTCATGCTTCCGCAAATCTTCCTCATCAACCCCAAATTCCATGTTCATGTTCTCTCAGCACTCGCTTGAACAATTATCAGGGGAAAAAGATGCTCACCTTCCTGGCCATGCTGCCCTCCAGTCATCTACTCTTCCAGCATCTGTTAACCTGCACATCACCAACCCAAAGCAATGCAATGCACCCATCTTCTGGACTCCACATTGCCAACAAGGGTACAGGGGGGGTGGTAGCATATATATATATAAGTTATATATATATATATATATGAAGCTGATAGGAACCAATGGCACCTAGTCGTACATCCCGGCAACCCAACCAGATCGGTATTTTGAACACAAGCTCCAAAGTGCTGGCTATGGTAGTTAGAAGATTGCAGCTCTGGCAGTTTGAGCCCATCCGATGTTTCCATCAAAGAACACAGAACATGCTATGGAAATCTATGGAACCTATATAGAAGGCTCTCACTCTTTTTGAAAGAATGGATCCCTCTCCCTTCCCCCAGCCACCACCTGTTCCAACCCCAACCGGTCGGCCCTCTTTGACGGAGCCGGCCGAGGCCTTCGACATCGATCGGAACTTGGAGACGGTGCTGGGCGGTTTGCGGCGCCTGGGCGTCGCAGCGGAGAAGAAGGGCCGCAACGACTTGGTCTACCAAGGCGGACGGAGCGCTGGACGGAGCGGTCGGGGCAGCGGGGACGGAGCGGTGGTGGTTTTGAAGAAGTGACTGGGTCACGAAAACACAGAACCCGCGGGTCGCGAAAGAAGAGACAGTGGAAAGGAAAGGTGCTGCGAAGCTGTGGGCGAAGTGGGTTTGGTGGCCTTTGACTCTAATTACTGGCGCGTCCTTTTCAAAGGCGAATCCTCTTGGCCTCTATGTCGCTTTTTTGCGTCACATGACCTGGGATATTGATACGGAAGCACAATCAAGGCCTGGGTTTATGGGCCAAAAGGATTCAAACGTACCCCGGCAAGTCAGTATATAGAATCCGGGTCTTTTGGTGTGTGTGTCTCTTCACTTTGAATCAGCATGTTGCTGAAGTGGTGGGAGAGAAACGCCCATCGACAGCACCCCTCGACAGGTCGACCCATCGACAGAGCACGCCTGGGACCGGCGTTCGGTGCCAAACAGTACTTTGGGACCGGCCCAGACGCAACCCGGACCCGAATCCTTTGGAGGGTTGGGACCCTAGACGGAGTCCTATAGAGTACACAAAAGTCGTTCCAACGACTCGTTCCAACGGCGCAAAAGATCGGAGGCAAGAAGATTTCGGGAAGTGCTTTCAAGCATGCGCCTGATCGGCAAGTGTCCTTGCACCATGGCACCATTCTGATCCTTGGATCGTGGGATTGGTGTTTTTAGTCGTTGGGTGAAGTGAGAAAGGAATCTGATGTTTTCGACCAAGAAGACTGTTTTGTTTGATTTGCTATACTTGTCACCCCACCGGAATTTGACCCACCTGTGAAGCGCTGGCCATCGCTTGAAGCAACCCTTCGCTCATCAGGCGCTTTTTCGGACGTCCTCGTCTTCGCGGTCGGTCGTGCGCACCTTCTGCGGGGTTTGCAGCCTTAATGCCTTAATTTGGATGCTTCGAACACTGCACCCCTAGCAAGCGGCAACTTAGATAGCGAGTGTCGTTTTACACCCAGCAAACACTTTTTGGTGTCATGTGAGCAGCGCCCCTTTTGAAGCGAAACCGCCACTGGGCGCTGAAACAAAGCACCAGACATGCGCAGGGTCAGACGGCGACCGAGGATCGACACTGACCTCACAGCCCTGCAGCGATGCTTGGTTGGTGCAGGGTGGTTGGGGTGCAAAGGAGTTATATGGCTGTGGGTCAAAGCCCACATCCATCCATATCCCCAAACCAGGGTAGTTCATTGTGTTCATTTTTGGTGGTCTGGTGAAGACATTTAATCTACACAAGTCAGAACCCTCTGATCACAGTTGACTAAGCTTGCTAAATCCTTTAGCGACGATCTATCTGCAAGACACCAAGCAAAACGCAAAAAACACATAAAACATATTCAACAAGTCAAAAAGTGAGAAAAGTCAAAAAGTCAAGAAGGTAAAGGAAATGAAAGCAGCACGCAGCGAGACGTTTCGGCTTTTCGAGACTCTTTTGCCTTTTCGGACTTTTCGCAAGAAGTTCGGAGAGCAAGTAGATCCAGCTCACACATTTAGCAACCACAGCCGACTTGGGGCAATCATAGGAAATCAACATCTGTAAACAGAATCTTGCCTGTACTAAGTATGCAACCTGCGAGAGTTATTCTGATGTTCTTCAAGACATATCCGCCTGATTTGGACAGACCAGGTCTGCCCAAACATCGAACAGGTATGTGCCGTCCGCTTGTGAAACCGGCGTCCGATGGAGTGCCCTCAGTGAGCTGGAAGAAACGAGGAGGTGACCTTCGCCTCACAGAAGACACCATTTAGAACCGGTGGTTTTTAGATTTGCGATTTGAACGATTCCCAATGGGAAAGGGTTCATAGTCGAAAGGGAGCCACTTTTTGAACGCAGGAGTCCAGGAGGAGTCCAGGACGTTCGCCGAACCAAACGAGTCGAACCGATCGTTCCATCGCTCCCGAAAGTTTGCGCCGCACGGACCAGTCCGGACGTTCCGCTCGGTCCTCGCTCGGTCGCCCCCGGTGGTGAGGATACTTGACGCCCGACAAGAGGAAGTTGCAAGCGAAGGGCATCTCCAGTGTTGGAGCAAGGGATGCTGGGCGAAGATGGTGCCGATGAGCATGGGCTTTCCAAACTAGCAAGGAAGATCAACGCTTGTGTTTTGAGTTTTGAGGAAGGCTTTGATGCTTGGTGCGTCAGGCGGCTCCGTTCAGAGTGATTTAATCACATTACTCTGATCTCACTTGACGCAATGTAGTAGTGAACCATAGTGAACCCATCTCAGAATCTTAGAATGAAGGCTTCGACAAGATTAAATTGAGGCATGCCGACCTGATGAAGTCCTTCCTTGCATGTTTTCACCTGCAAGTTGGAGTCCCTCTACAGTATGACTCCCTGAAGTCCTTGTAGATTGCCAGCTGCCCAAGGTGATGAACCTCCGGGAGGCTTTCCCCTCCCTGACGCACCAAGACTTGTGCGACGCCCTCACCGAGGCGCCGACCGCGAGCAATAGTTTCTGACCGCTTGAATGGCTGGTGGGCGACAGGGGCACTACTGTATGTGGGTGTCGGTGAATATCATAAAATGGCGTAAACAGCAGATTCCTCAATCAGGGGCATGGGCCATGCGTTTTAAATCTGGATGACCAACAGATCCACCAAACAGTGATCAGAGATGCCAACACAGATGCGAGGGATCGACATTGATCCTGGATGGGAATTACATTCAACATTTGTCAACAGTTTGGTGGTCAATCTCTTCCTGGTCATCCCATGCATACCATGGTAGACACCGTCCAACCCTCTTTGCCCCCGGTGATTCTCTCGTTGGCATCCCGGTGAACGCGCGCGGAGTTGCGCACGCACGTGGCAGGAGTTCCGGGACCGCGAGGGTGCCAGTGGCCCGATGCTATGCTGCATCTGAGGGGGGGCCCCGATGATCCAGAAGTGTCTTTATAGGTGTCTTTCCTGAACCGATAGGTTTGTGGATGTCATGGCCATTTTATGAACCGATGTCGAGGCCACAGTCGGACTGGCCGCATAGTTCCACGTATTTCCACATGTACTGGATTTATGCATAATTGCCATCTAAATGGGTTACAGGCCTGGATCAAAGCTGTATGACAGGTCAACATGGTCAGAAAATCTCAGGGATTTTCTGGTTCAGTTCTGATCCAAGTATTTGGCTGGTGATGTTTTTGATATGCTTTGATGAACTTCGTGCGACGTCCTGGGACTCGCTCCGTCTGCCCTCGTTCCTCATGTCATCTGAGGGTGGAGGAGATCAGCGAGCAATCGGAGTTGGCACAGGCCAAGGCCTTCCAGGAGCGAAGATATTTTGGGGGACATGGGATGGTTCCTTCTTGTTGCTTGGGTACCTACTATATAAGAGAATATCAAATTGAGACCAGTTTCTCTGAGTGACTTGAGGAACTGGGAAGATGTTGTTCAGATTCGTTCCGTTTCATGTTACGACCCGGTCCACGATTCGACCGATGCGACAGACCGAGTGCGAGCATCACCGAGCATCGCCGAAACCGTGACCTCACCGTGTCAGCGACGATCGCCTGCCTTGAGGCGTTGTTTTTGTACATGTTTACTACCCGGTTTGGAGGGTTACGGCTGAGGAAATCGAAGGGTGTCGTGTGAGATCAGTTTATGTGATTCATGTTTCTTGCTGCAAGACTTGCTTGTTTCTTCTGTTAGTTGCACGAGTTTTCAGATCGCAAGGACTTGATGGCAGAGCTCGGGGACAAGTCATGGAGATTTGGCCGCCCAGATGTGCGAGATGTGCTCGGTGTAAGAAACCTTTTGAACGTACCAGTGCTACATGCTCATGCATGTCTTCTTCACATGTCGGCACGCTGCGCGGTCAAGGTTGCATGTGTTTTCTCAATGTGGTCACGTGTGGTGAAGACCTGAATAGCATGCAACTTGAGATCTTCCGCGTTTATGGTGGAAGGAACATCCACTTACTTGTCTACCATCGATATCAGTTTGGAGATGTTTGCAGACAATCCGGAAGACATCCTCATCCGAATCACATGGCTTTCAGCACCTTCGAAACTGAGAGTTGAGACCTTCCAACTGTCGGCTGAGGCAAGACTCCAGAGTTCTCGCACCAGCCCCGAGGGCAGCATTAGATTTATTTTCCTTCTTGGATTCTGCATGCGATCTAGAAGGACTCCTGCAAATGCCAAGTGCATTGCAGATTTTGTGAGATTGGTCATTGGTTGCTTCTTGTTACTAGTAGCGATGCCCTTTGTTACTAGCAGCTTCTTGCTCCTAGTAGTAAGGCCAGGAGCCCCTAGAAGCATCCGATCGCTCCTAGTAGCAATGCCAGGAGCCCCTAGTAGCGATTGGTTTGTCAAGTGCATTTTCTCGGTCATTGAAGGTATTGAATTCGTTATTGTTCGAAGGTGGTTCAGGACAAGCTGTGCAGGCATGCACAGGTGGCAACCAACAGTTTTTTTACTTCACCTAATGGAATTCCATTGACACTTCTGGGTGTCTCGTGTTGTTTTTGTTCAATCCTTCTTCAGGTCTCGCCACCGCTGGCCTTCCGAGAGAGGCTTTCACTCGGACCCCCCGGTCCCCCCCGTCGTCTCGACCCCCCCCCGTCACCGTCATGGCGACGACCGAGGTTCGAGACGCGCATCGATGGCGTCGGCGTCTTCGACGTGCACCTGAAAGTGGCTCCTCGGCGGACGACTCGACCGGTGGGGTCGAGACGACCGGGAGACCGCCGAGCTCGCGGCCCGGGAAGGACCGGAGAGGAAGAGAAGGGGGGGAGGAAGGGAGAGCAGACTTGGTGAAAAGGAGACGAAAGGAATCCAGAGGATGGTTCAGGGATAGTTACGGTTGTAGCCGTATTCTCTAGAAAATTCTGAGGATGGGATAGGCAAGTTTTGGTGCACATCGACTTCTTTTCAATTACAGTGTGGATGCATCTGAATGCTATGTTCATGATGTTTCTGGTGATCTCACCGCCTTTTCCACATCTTTTCTTCTCCATCAACTGTGCTTGCCAGCTTCAAGCCTTAGAGAGCATCCAAGTTGAATACATGTCGTCCCGAACGACCCCGCACATCGCCGCCTCGCCCGGCCACCGGGCCGGCGGGCCGCCCTCCCTCGGTCGAGGTGCACGGCGTCATCGAGGACGCCACGATCTTCAGCGACGCGCTCTTCCCGGACGTCATCAGCGCGGCGATGACCAGCCTCTGCGGCGTGGAGTACGGAGTCTTGGGCCGCAGTCAGGAGGTTGGGTGGTGGTCGGACGTGAGGAAAGGACCGCGGGTTCCACCGGCCCCCCACCCTTCTTTCGGGTGGGATGGTTGAGGAACGGCAGCTGTTCGCACTTTCGACCGCTTTTAGGCTCCTACTTAATGAAGTAGACGCCTACTTAATCAAGTAAGCCAGAAGTTCGCTGCTAGCTACTAGGACGCTACTACACAATATGGATGCAGGATAGCTCAGGCTTCTTCAAGGAAGCTCCCGCCGCCTGAGGGCGGGGGGGAGCTTCCTTGAACCTGGACCCGAATCCTTTGGAGAGTATGGGGTCGCAGATCCTTGGTTTTGAGGGACCAAGGGCTGTTTGGAGCGTCTGGGCAATAGTAATAGTAATTATGATATATGTCTTGTGCTCGCACTTTAATGTGAAGTGGTAGCGACTTGGGCCGTTGCATCAACGCTCGAGAACGATCTCAGGTGAGGTAGGCTTGCCATGGACCCTGGAGCGCTCCCCACTCACTTGTGGGCTGTGGCTCTGGGGTGGTTCGCTAGGGTGCTGACTGAGAGGCCGCAAGACGATCGCCCCTGTCAGTGCCACTGTCGCTGTGCCTGCGTGAGTGAGGGAGGACCGTCCTCCTGGATTGCACTTTTGGTCCTGCTAGCGTTGTGCATTGGTGGCGGCATTTGGATTTGGTATTCCAAGAAGGACATCCAGCCTGCCGGAAGCCCAAAAGGCAGAAAGGGGACGTGGGGAGTCTGACCGGCTAAGATGGAAAGTGGTTATCTTGTGCTCGTTCATTATGGCGAAGTGCCAAGCACCTGGCACGTTCGTATCCTCCTTGGACACATCCAAGGCAACGAATGGCAGATCCTTACGCCAGACTACGACAGATACAGTGAGCAGCTTGATCACCTCAACCCCGACTTTGCAGATTTCATCTATCTCGGAGCAAGCACCACCGTACCTCCTCGTGTGCCCGCTCATGAGATTTACGGATTCGCCCCTATGGATCCAGCCACCCTGGCCAACCACATTCATCAAGGACGGCTTGAGGCCAATGCTGAACGGTTGAACAGAGGACTTCCTCCTATGGCTCCCATGGGTGCGGGACCAGCTGTTGTCGCTCCACCTCCGCCGGCAGTCGCCCCATTGCCTGGGGTGCTAGTGGGTGGAGGGGCAGCAGCTGTGGCAGCACCCGCTGGGGGAGGAGCAGCAGTTGCTCCAGCCGGAGTGGTCGGAATGTGTTGGGTGTGTGTTGAGACGGCTGGAGGTTACAGTCGGGGGGAGATCGTGGTCGCCGATCCCGGAGTTTTGCCACCAGGTCATGTGTTGATTGGGGAGAAAGCTTTGGTCCCAGCAAAAGATGGTTCAGCAGTGGCTTGTTTTGCAAAGAAGGTTCGTGTTGACGATGCTGCAGGCTACAAGCTCGAGGACCTCCGGATTCTTCCCGTCACCTTTGATGCTCAGGGGGTGAGGCGAAGGGAATTTGCCCAGGCGGTCGCTGCAATGGTTGAGGGAACACCCCAAGGAGGCGGTCTTCAACTAGAGGGTCCGGCGACTGCATTGAATGTGCTCAAGTCCCTTCGTGACCAATCTATGACTCCTACATCATTTCACGAATTTTGGTTGCGAAGTGCTGAGATCCCAAGGGGTGACCGGTCGATCTACGAGCATGAGGTGCTGTCACGCATCCTCGAATCGATTGTGACCATTGATCAGCTCAACGTCAGCGGCTTGCAGGGGATTGAGTTGCTGGTTCGACGACTGCAGGTGATTCGAGAGGCCCATCGGATCTTGCCATCCAGCCCAGATTACAGTTCGGCAGAGTTCTTCATGGGCTGGAAGTATCGGAAGGGCGCACATGGGGTTGATCCCGACCTGGCACATCACGTTGCTGCGGAGTTGAAGTCGGAAGCAATGATCCTCAAGGAGAGCCGCAAGGCAAAGGAAGAAGCGCAAGCGCGCCGCCGAAACCCCGGTGACAAGAAGGGGGGAGGCGGCGGAGATCAGAAATGATGAGTGGCATGGGCGGCGCTGATTCGGCATGTCCTGCCGAAGAATTTGATGGTTATGGCCGTGGGCTCAACCCGTCCTTTCGTGAAGATCGGCTGCGAGAGCTTTTTCCACTGCCTAGGGCTCCTCCACTGCAATGCGACTCCTCCTACTCTCAGGAGGATTTTGTCAGCACAGTGCGCCCCTATCAGCGAGACTTGATATCCCTCCCAGAGACCGGCGACGATCCCGTATCGTTGGACCAGGTTTTGGATGAGCATGGACGACAAGTTCTTGGTGATCCCCTGCGGACTATGCCCCTTTCGGATGAGGAGTGGGGTGAAGTGCTGGAGAAGGGTGATTTGGTTAGGCCTTATATGGATGTGAGATTGCAGCATGATCAACAGCTATATACCTCGTTCATTCAGGACCTACATGCGAAGGGAATGATATCTTTCACCTCGAGGCCCCGGAGATAGCGCCACCATTTTTTGTGAAGAAGAAGAATGGACGTTTGAGGTTGATTTTGGATTGCAGAGCAGTGAACACGCGGTTCAAAAAACCTCCGCCTCTGGCACTTGGAGCCGGAACTTCTTGGGCGCAGGTGTGCATCCCGGAGGGCTCTACACTCTATCTGGCCCAATCCGACATCAAGGACTACTTTTATAGTTTAGCTCTACCTCATGAACTACAGAGCCTCTTCTGTTTGCCTGCTATCGCCAAGTCCGCCATGCAGGACTGGGGCTTGGATTTTGATCAGGTGGACTGCGACGCCGAAGGCTGGAGGTTCCCGCTGTTGAGGGTAGTTCCGATGGGTTGGAGTTCGGCTATGTGGGTGGCACAAAGGGTCCACACGCATCTGTGCATGGAGGAGGCCTTAGTCTGGATCGCGTGATCATGGAGAGCAAGGCGCCCCCAGATTTGTCAGATGGTGAGGTGATCATCATTCCGTACGCTGACAATTTGAATGTGGCAGGTATTGACGAACAACGTGTTCAGCAGGTTAAGAACAAGATCGTCGATAGGCTTCGTGAGATCGGTTTTCGAGTGCATGAAGAGTTGGAAGCATGTAGCATTGGACAAAGCCTCGGCTTCCTCGTCGATGGCGCCAAAGGTGTGGTGGCGCCCATTCCGGAGAGGCTGCACAAGGTCAGATTGGCGCTTGACTGGCTGGCGAGGCAGCCCTGGGTGACGGGGAAAAAGGTCGAGCGGCTCATCGGACATTGTGTTCATTTCATGCTCCTACGTAGAGAACTCCTGTCGATCTTCAGAGCCATGTACGACTTTGTGCACAAGAGCTATTCGAAAAAACGACCACTTTTTGCCTCTGCTGCAAGAGAAGCTAAGTGGGCATCAGCTCTTTTGGGTCTTTGCAGTGTAGATTTGAGGAAGGACTGGAGTGGGCGGGTTACCGCAAGCGATGCTTCTTTGTCAGGTGCGCCCTCGAGATGAGGTAGCCGCGATAGGATCACAACGTGAGCCCTGGCGATACAAGTACAAAGAGCTGCCTCCACCTCGTGAAGCTGCTTTGAACTTTGGTGACCCCTTCTCAGACCCTTCCACTGTGAAACCCCTGAAACAAGAACTTGAACAACCCGATCCTTTCGAGTTGAAAGAGAAGTTCGTTGAGGTGCCCCAAAACGTCTTGCAGCCTGAGTTGTGGCAGGAGGTGTTTGCCGTACACATGAAACATCCGGAACACATTACATTGCTGGAAACCAGAGGTGTTGTGATTTCTTTGAGACACAAATTTAGAGCCGTGCAGCAGTTTGGAAAGAGACACTTGCATCTCGGAGATAACATGGGCATGATCCTCATGATCGCCAAGGGACGCTCGAGCTCTTTTTCCATGTTGAAGTTGTGTAGGCGCCTCTGTGCTCTTTTGCTATGTGCCGATTCCATGCTTTCACCTCGTTGGATTCCCTCTGAGTTGAACGTGGCCGACAAAGGTTCGCGGCGGTGGGAATCGCAAAGAAAGAGAGATGTTGCTGGCCGAGCCTGGGAGAAGATCCAGCTCGAAAGGGTTGACTCAGTTTGCTACCCAACCGGAGCTGGCAAACCAGACCTTCGACAAGCTGCTAGCAGTGCCAGGCAGGAAGGAGGCCGGCCGACAAGGCCAAGACTCGAGCAGAGATAGCGAGACAGAGATCCGATCCTCCTCGCTTCAAGGGACAGACAAACCTGGAGCGAGTAGCAGTGTCGGAAGCAGTGGCGAAAGACTACACCAGAAGGACCAACGATCTGAGATTCTTTGCACGACAGAGCAAGATTTCCCTTCGAAGTGCGAAGAACTTGGACGAGGCCTGCACCTTGTTTCTGAACAACATCTTCGAGCAGGGCGTAGAGCTCCACGAGGGCTCAAAGTTTGTGGCGGCGGTCAAAGACGCGTTCCCAGACTTTGGCCACAAGTCAGCACTGCCTCGAATGATCAGAGCACTTCAGGGCTGGACAAAGACCGATCCTCAGAAGACCAGACCACCTCTGCCTTGGGAGTTGGTCGCCGGCATTGCAATGAAGATGCAGGCACGAACGCGGCACCATGCGGCCTTGGCGGTGTTGACCATGTTTTCGGCCTACCTGAGGCCGGGAGAATGCCTGGGGATCCAGAAGACAGACCTGGTAAGACCTATGCCAAGACAGGAGCACCACACGCTCCACCTGCACCCTGCCGAGAGACACGAGGCCTCAAAAGTTGGGATCTCGGAAGAGTCGATTCAGCTGGATTCAGTGCAGCTCCTTTGGTTGGGTCAAGCGTTGGAACAGCTTCAGACGGACGGGCCATTTCTTTTCGAGCTGGGACACGCAGAGATGGTCTCAGCTTGGAAACAAGCCTTGGTGGATCTAGGACTGGAACACAACCACGCAGTCCTGCACCAACTATAAGGCACTCAGGTCCGTCTTACGATCGCTGCCATCGTCTTCGGTCGCTTCTGGAGATCAAGGCACGGGGACGCTGGGCCGCAGATTCAAGCCTTCGTCGTTACGAACAACATGGTCGACTAAACCAGGAATTCCATCGCCTTCCACAGGCGACACAAAAGCTAGTCATGAAGCTCGAGGAGCAGATGAGAAAACTGGGCCCAAGATTTTTCACCCACCCAGACAAAACGGTAGCCAATGAAAAAATTGCGATAGAACTTTTTTCAGGGTGCGCACGTTTGTCGCCTGCTATGGTAGCACTTGCATTCACCGCCATTGCCTATGACATAGACTATGGACATGGCTGTGACCTGCTTGACCGCGGGGTTCAGAGAGAGTTGGTGCGCTTCATCAAGCGACATAGAAACAAGATAGCCCTGATTTGGCTTGGGACACCGTGCACTTCATGGTCCCGAGCTAGGAGATTTGATGGCGGGCCCCGACCCTTGCGGGGCGATGATGTCCACCTGTGGGTTTTTTCCGACCTCCGCCCTTCAGATCAATCCAAAGTTCTTTTAGGCAACCAGCTTTTAGAGGTCTCGAAATTTTTCATCGATCTTGCTTGCCACCTGAACCTAGCGTGGGTATTAGAGAACCCTTTCTCCTCACGCTTGTGGTTAACACCGCAGGCTAGAGCTTTGATTGATTTTGGAGCCCGCTTGCATGAGACTCATTTTTGCTGTTTTGGCACTCCCTGGCGAAAAGCCACCGGGTTGCTTGAATGGAACTTCCCCACTTTGGCTCTTTGCATCAAACAGTGCAGCACAAAGCAAGGCCGATGCCAATTTACAGGCGAGCGGCATCTCACCCTGTCCGGACAGGACAGCTGTGGGCGTTGGTTGACACACATTGCACAACCATATCCCCGTTTGCTTTGCCAGTTGATTGCAGAACAGCTTCACCAAGTTCACAAGTGATAGTGGATTTGGGTATGAGGTTGGGCAGCAGCTTCAATACTTTAGGCTGCAGCCACATGTTTCCTTTGAAAACCTCGTG